CTTCGGATAAAAATATCTATTTACTTCATTATTCTCACTCTTCTTCTTGGCATTCGTGGTGGAAGTTGTTTCTTGACATTTTCAATGAACTGTACATTCTCTTTTGTCTCAACTTCTTTCACTGGTGGGTCAGGGTTCTTTGACTCGGTTTGTTTTTCAATGAAATTCACGAACTTTGCAATAAGCTCTTGGTTCGTTATTGAAAGTACATCTGGCTTCTTTTCTTCTGGTTCTATTGACTTTTCAGTTTGAACAGAAGGCGTAACACAGGCTTCGTGGGCTTCACCCTTGCCATGCACCTTAATGTTGTCGCTTTCTGCATTCGCTAATGGAACCTTTCTTTTTCTTACATATATTTTACCATCTTTACTCTGACTTACGTAATAGAAAGGATGTTGTATTCCTCTTGCGTCATTTAATATAATAGACTCTCGCTCTGATTTTGACAAGCTCATTTTACATCGGTTAAAGTTTTAATTTTGTTTTTTATCTGCAGTCAAATGACTCAGACAAGCCCTACGGACAAGACCCAAGGGGTCATAGATGTTGAAGCATTGAAGAAAGAAATTCGTGAGCAAATTTTATCCGAACTGAAGGAACAAAAACAAGAACAAAAGCCAGAGAGACCAAAGAGAAAACTTAGTGAAAAACAACTTGCTGCATTAGCTGCTGGAAGACAAAAGAACCCAAGACTACTGGCGAAGAAAGCTAGAGAAGAAGCAAAAGCAAAGAAAGAGTAAATGGTTTATTTTTATCCGAATTAAATGTATAGACAAATACCTTTATCTGTTGCGTTCAGTAGTGAAAACCCTGACGTCAAAATAAAGGGGAACAGAGTAACGTTTAAGTTTCCAACAGACTGGATTGTGAACATAAATGAAGAGAAGTACATTGGCATAACAAATATGTATATAACACGTGCTTTCAGAAAGGTTGACTTTATACTTCAAGTCGAGATAGAAAATGGCGAACAGTCTTTAAGCGCCCAAAACATTCACATATACAAATACTTTAAAGACGATACAACATTGCAACAATGTATGATTTCATTTAATGAAATGTTCGAGAAAAAGTTTAACATTGAAGTACAAACTTTACAGCCTTTACGTGAGTTTCTTGCACAACTGAAAGAAGAAGGTAGTCAGCCACAACTTATAGACTTTCATTATGAATTTAATGAAAATGAAGATGGAACTCATGACTGTCAATTCATTGTATTCTCACCATTCAATGAAGTAGCTAAAAAGAAAAAAAATCCATTACGTATAAGATTTCAAATCTCTGAACCAAGTGATGATTTCAAAAATGTTTTCAATTATGATGCAATGCTTCCGAGGAAAAATGAATTTTCCGAAATTAGATTTCCAGGTATTTGGGATAGAAAGCAAGCTATATTATATTCAAACTTAAGTAAGGGAGTTGAAAATGAGTTCATTGGTCATACAAGAACTACACCACTGCCAAATCCTAAATACTATAAATTAACTGGCTTCAATCGTGAGTTTTGGATAGACATGTTCTCCACTCATGACCATAACTGCCCAGTGTTCTTACCTCCAGACCATAAGGACTGTCTCTACATTGAAGCACAACTCTTAAACTCTACCATCGCAGTATTGTAAATGACCACATGGGCTTCACCCTTGCCGCTAGCGGCTTATTTTTATCACGAATGACCTCATTGCTGACAAAAATAAATGACCTCAGAACTTCAACTTACGAATAAAGCTTGTTTTAGTCGTTATTGAGAAGTTAAACTTTTCAGAAAAGCAAGGACTAGAAGACTTACACAAGTCGAATGCAATCTCTTGACCGTCATAAAGTGCTTTATATAACTTCATAACACTGAACTCAGAGTCTTTGTCATATGTTCCAACAGGTATGTGAATGTTCTTATCTTCATTGTAATAGCATTGTATAGCTTCAGGAAACATTTCATTTGCTGTTAAAGCAAGGACGTCTTGTTTGACACCTTTGCAACGTGCATGGAATGCAACTTCATTTAAATCATTCGTGAGTAAGTCTATGTAAGTCTTCTTTCCACAAAATATTGACTTGTATGCTAAACTTTGTTTTCCAGGTGTTATTTCTGCGAAGTCAGAATGAAATTGACCAAGATTCTTTCCTATAAGTTCTCTACCGTATCTCTTCTTAAACTCTGCTGCAAGCTTTGGTATGTCTTCATTGAAAATATGCATGCTATCACAGTCCTGGTAGAAGATTTGAAGTCCCATATCTTCTGCAGTACAGAATACTTCACACATTATTCTCTTCGACATAGACAGAATGTTAACACCAAGTGGACAGAAGTTAAAGTGTCTGCAAATGCTTTTCGTTAGCTTGAAAATAGTTTTATCTGAACCATCCAAACCTTCGAACTTCACTATATGGTTGTAGTTTCTGATGGCATATCTTATAGCATCTTTGTCATTTACTATGGTTATTTTTGACTCAATAGGAGATAGAATAGTTTTGCCATAAATACTGTTCAGAATGAGCTTTATATTTTCTTGCAAAGGATTTCCTTCTTTCTTATACTTTAACCTATAACTCAAACAACTTCTTACTTCATCTCTTATTCTAATATCTCTGTTTCCATCGTAATAGTATCCTTGCAACACTTCACATTTGACACCTTGATATTTTATGAGGTCTTGTAATGTTATATGGTCATACATATATTAAACAGCAAGTGTTTGAACTTCTGGGAACGTTAAGTTCTGGATTTAGTTCAGGGTCACAAACTATTAAAGGAAAGTGTCTATGTATTCCAATCTCTGTTATCTTAATGAGAACAAAGAAGCCAGACATAAACTTTTCACCAATGGGTTCCTTTTGGTTGTCGTTGAATAAATGTCTCATGAGATACTCTGTGCTTAACATTTCTTTCTTCATAACCTTTGGAATACCTTCTTAAAGTATAAAGTCTTGCTATAGCGGATGGATATAATGAAACAGCGTCGAAGTCAGCAATGAGTTTCTTTTCGCTCTTTTGTTTAATGTTATCTGACAGCATACATCTTCCACCTTGAATACAGCGTGAAATAAATTCTCTTGGTTTATTTGAGAGGTCATATAAATTTCCATTCGGGAAGTACACTCTGATCTCAAATAATTTGTTAGCAATTGAACAAATACTACGTAGTCATAAACGTTTAAATCAAATTCTTTCAATATGTCATTGCGGAACTTAACAAAACCTTCTCTTAAAATTCTTACATCTTGTTTGCAATAAAATGTGCTATACTTTTCTAAGTCGAAGTGGTTTTCATCTATTCTGCAACCTTTGATGGAATCTATGTTTTTCATGAATGTATCTGCATCCCGGATAAACTTACATGCTTCAGAAATGACACCAGTTCTGTTGTCATTTGCTAACAAAACACTGCTGTAGTAGTTGTATGGAAATACTTCTTTCGGTCCTGTTTGTAAGTTAAACATAGCAGGAAATAGTTTAAGCTTCTTATTTATAACACTGTAAGAGTCTTTTATAATAATTGCCCTTCCTTTATATAAGCCAGTTATTTGCATTGTTCGTGAACCTTTAATGATGGGAGTTCCTTTCACTTCTGTCATGTGTCTTAAGATGAAGTTTATATCATAACTGAGGTTATGGAAATATATTAAACTCTTGTCAGGAAGTCGTTCCAAAAATTCTGTTGCACAGTTCTGACCCCAAATGCTTTCACTCACTGAACCATCTTCACTGTCATAACATATGTTAAAAGCTTTATGAAAGCCATCGGTACTGCACTCAAAGTCAGCAAAGAAAACGTGCTCAGGAATGAACTTGCACTTATTTTTATTTACTTCTTTTGACTCGGCTTTCTTCTTCAGTTGTACACAATACTTTGGAGCATATGACAAGTCTTTAAATGGTGCAAGGTTCTGTTTATATAAGTCAGTCGTATATGTGAAAAGTTCTCCATAAGAAATATTGTTCGAAATATTTGCACTCCACAATGTTTTCATAACATCCCATAACGGTGTTGTTCTATCATAACGAACTACATATTTATCTTCTCGTTTGTATAAATCTTCATTTGTTTCTCAATGTTCATTCCACCACAAGCTTTGAGAATTTCTTTTAATTTCTGACGAAATATGTTGTCATTGGTAATCTTTCATTTTAGCATGTAGTGGTCTTCAACAAGAAGTAAGTCAATAGTTCTAACAGTTTCACATTCTTTTGGTATGTATCTCTTTATTTCATTATGTCTTGAGTCATTGAAATAACCAATGGTAACATTAAATGCTATACCTGTTGCGTCAGAAATTTCTTGTACTTTACTTTGAGGAAAGTCTCTAACACGAATGACTTCTCTCATGTGGTCAATCAGTCTCATCTACTCCAGCCTGAATGCAAGCATAAACGAAACAATTGTCTTCTGTCATAAGTGCTGCAGTTCTTTTGTTCAATTCATTGAAGATTTGGTAGCGTTCAAGATTTATAGGTAATGTGCAAAGATACTTCCAGAACTGACCGCTTCTCTTCTTATAAAACTTCTTTTCACCATTATCTTTCCAAAAGCTTTCTATAAGTGCTGGGTTTCCTGTTTGCTTAAGAGCTTCCAAAATGGCTTTCTGGTCATTTGTCAGTGTGCTTTCATCTCTATATGGTCTCTTTTTTTGGTTTGCCTTCTTTACATCTGACATCGTTAAGCCTTCATATTCTGTTAATCATACATCTTTATTTCGGTAAGATTCTTTATGTTTGTCAAGAAGAAGTCATAGTGCATTTCAACAATACCTGCCAGCATTTGCTTCTATCTCTGATATAAAGTTCTCCTTCAAGAGCTGATGTAGTAATGTTCCAATATTATTGAGGTTTAACGTAGAACATTCATACTTTCACCAAGTTTATAACATACCATCCATCTCTGTTGTGAGTTTATTTTAATTTTCTCTAAGAGTCTCATGAAAACCTTACGAAATGTTTTGTGTAAGTAGTCTCTGTTTTGGTTCATCTAAAGCTTCGATGTTAAAGTCAATGAGTCTATTGCCTGACTTCACATTTCTCTTCCTATTCTCTTCATCTTTCTTTAACCATCTCTCACCTTCTTTTGGTTTGTCGTCAATGGAACGAATGACATCGTTAGCTTTGCGAACTTGTTCTATAGCGCTCTTAAACATCTCTCTTCTCTGTTGTTTCAGTGTGTCGTCTCTTCTTCTTGTTTCACCAACGTTTGCATTTGTTATGTCAAACATTTCTCTTCTTACTTCATGAGGTACTGAACGTCTATGATATAAGTCAATAGCAACGTCATTTAAAGGAAATGCTCTTGCATGGACTTCGTCCTCGCCGCGTTGCGGCTTTATGAACTCATGAATTCTATCATAACTTATTGCACCATTATAGTCTTTAATGAAGTCAGCGAGTGCTTTTTTGTTTGTTGCGTAATGCTTTGCAACATCTATATTAGCTTCTGTAAGAAGTTGTTTTATTTCCGAGTGTTCTAACTTAGACAACTTCCGATACATCTTTAGTAGGAAATAAAAAAAATATTTTTTGAAAAAATTAGATTAGATTTTTTTAAGTTATTTTTCAAAATAATTTAATATTTTTATTTTAATGAAACACATGCAAGATTGCAAGTTCTTTTCATACAATGCTCTCGCTACTGCCATCAAGAATGAGTTCAATGGTGCTTCAAATGTTAATGTTATCTTTAACAAGAAGTTTGTGAAAGAATCTAAGTTTGGTCAGTATGTCAGACCATTAGCTATCGTCATTGACCGCAAACGTTATACTTCACAAGAGTTAGCAGTAGTTTTGAAACAAAAGAGTTTCTTCGTGAATGTCAAAGATATACACTATACTGTTATAAAGAACTCTAACATTGACTTCTTCAGTATTGCTTTAAATCTTTCCGAACAGAAAGAATATAAGAAGGGTGAAACAAATGTGAAATATTATCCTTCATCTCTGAAGACAATAACGAACAAAGATGTTATACAAAAGTTCTTACCAAAGGTTGAAGAAGCTTCTATTGACATTGACGAAGGAAGTGAAATGGTTGAAGAAATAGACCCTGAAGCTATTTAAGCAAAAATATATTTTTGGTTAGTCTTCATATCGATATTTTACAACAATTCCCCAATGTATAAACTTTTCATACGCTTTTTCATAAGCTTTATATACCTTCAGAAATTTTGCATAATCTTTAGAAGCATTTAGATATTGTTTAAATGCTTTGTATGTCTTCAGAAATTTTGCATAATCTTTTACATGTTGTTCGTTCTCTTCTTCTGTCATGAGTTCCGAATATTCTAAATTCATGTTCTTTCATATGAGATAAAATTTTATAAAAAAAATAAAATTAGCTTAGATTTTTTTATTCTTCCTCTTTGAAGTTATCGAAATATTCTGTTATTTTTTCCTTCAGTAATGTTAAGTCTTCTTTGAATGTAAGTATTGTGCAACCTTTGATGTCATAGTGTGTTTGAGGAAGAGTATTTTTGACAATTTCCTTTATTTGCTCATTCGGTGTCATTGAAATCGGTAAGTTTTCACGATAGAACCCGTTTCTGTCAGATTTATATATTTTAGCTAAGTCATAAAAGCTCTTGTTGTTTCTTCTGACTAAATGCAATATAACCATATCTTTATCTTCTTCTTTCTCCAACTCTTCAGTATAAATCATATACCTATAACTCTTTTCCTTTCCTTTTGGTACTGAACGCGGTATTCTTTTCTGTATGCTTTTGTCTTTGGATTCAATGACTTCATCTTTTGCATGAAGTTTCTTTTCCATCTCTCCACGTTCTGCTTTATATAGTTCATCTAACATCATGAAAATATAACAAGCATAACGAGGTGAAGCCACATTGCTACAGCATTTACTAAAAGTCTATGAACATAATAACCTTTCAAACCAGGAGCCAAATTCTTGCGATTTTCATACGGAATCTCTTCCCCCGGTTTTCCGAGGGAAGCAATCATATGAGGAAATTCTTCTAAAAGTTTTTTGTCTGTTGGTTTTCAAACCAATGATATGCTTGCTTTGTAGAACGAAGAGCATTCATTATACTTTGCATTTGGTACATGTCATCTTTGACTGAACGAATGAGACGTAACTGTTTGTTATATTGTATGTACTCGTATTCTTCATTTATGGCTTCATGAACGATAGCAATTGTTGTGTTCTCTGATGTTGACATTTCTGTTCTTACATACAAAATAAAAAAATAAATAAAAATAAAACTAACTTTATTTTTTCTATAGGGTGTCCAAAGGTGCGTTTAGCACAGCGCTCTATATGAGACTATTAAAGGAGATATATGCTGATTATAAATATATAATAAAAAATATGAATATATGTATATGATGAGTATGTTGTATTTTGGCGCCATGCCGGGATATAAAATGAATTTTGAGACAAGAGGCGGTTTCGCGGGAAATTTTGGCGGGATTTTTTTCATTTTTTTAATGAATCATAAAGAAAACATCCTCGCTCTTGCAAAAAAATGCAAAGACTGTAAAAAAATCTACGAGACATTGGTAAAATGCTTCGGTATGGATGCTCCTAGCTATTCCACTGTAACGTATCATGTTAGGATGTATCACTTCATGAACAAAAAGGCGCCCATCATAAAAATTGACAAAAAATCGCCGGATCAAAGAAAAATCAAAGCAATTCTTCAAGCGCTAGATGAAGACCCAAGAGCATCACTCAGAAGGATAGAGGAGATGACAAAGATACCACATACAACAGTCAGTTATTATCTGCACAATTATTTGAACTACAAACTAGCGTATACACGTTGGGTTCCGCACAACCTTAATTCAGTTCAAAAAAAATCTAGAGTCCAATCTTCGAAAGAGCTCCTCTCTATATTGGGTGCGTATCAATCCAAGAAGTTTCGCTTTTTAGTAACAGGGGACGAGTCTTGATTTCAATATGCAACAGAAGCCAAAATCATGTGGATCCCGAAGGATGAAAATCCGCAAACATTCCCGAAGAAAAAAATTGACACACCAATGATGATGTTGTCGGTTTTTTGGGGCGTGAATGGCATCATCGCAATTGATATTCTTCAAAAACCTAATACGATGAATGCTCAGTATCTAATTGACAATGTTCTTACTCAAATTATCAATTCTGATGAGTTTGAGAAATCCAAACAACAAAAACAAAAGTTTGCAATTCATTTTGATAATTCAAGAGTTCACAAAAGTCATAAGGTAATGAATTACTTGTTGGAAAACAATGTCAAAGTTGTTCCAAACCCAATTTATTCACCTGATATTGCACCCTCTGACTTTTATTTATTCGGCACGCTAAAAAAGAGAGCTGAAGGACGCGAATTCGCGAGTCCAGATGATCTTGAAAATTTTGTAAGAGAGCAATTTGAGCAATTTTCTCATGATGATTTAAAGCGTGTCTTTCAAGCTTGGATCGATCGCTGCGAACGCGTGATTGAATCCAATGGTGATTATATTTAAATAAACTTTATATATATGTAACTTGTTTATTTCTATTCGCAGTATTCAGGTTTGTGCTAAACACACCTTTGGACACCCTATATCTTAAGGAAATTCATTATTTTTGTGCTGAATTCAATAAAAATAATGTTTAGGTGAAGAGGTGAGATTTCACCTCTTTTTTCACCTCATTTTTCACCTCTTTTTTCACAAACGTTTCACATGGTAAACGTTATTTTTTAAATTTTGTGAAAACACAACGGTTTGACACATGCCCTAAAAATTATTTTACTCAGAATTTTGTTGCTGAATTCAATAAAAATATAATTGAGGTGAAGAGGTGAGATCTCACCTGTTTTTTCACCTCTTTTTTCACAAGCGTTTTACATGAATTGTACGATGTATATTTGAAATCCTAAACAGTTTTGTAGCTTCTATTTCTTCGCTGAGGATATCAAAAGTTTTAACAATGCCGAAGGTTTCTTTATATTTCTTCTTGACGTCAGACAGAAGGAAATCTTCTGCTGTTGGATAGTTTTTATTAAGAAATGTCAACATATCCATTTTATCTTCTGCTGGCTTTTCTGCTTCTTTCTTTAAGTCTGCATAGTCGTTTCGCATTCTTTCTATCTCTTTGACTGAGTAGTTATATTTTCTTATTGCTGCTTTACATTTTGAACATTGCGGCATCGTTTTTGCGTTATACATTGAAATAAAACCAGCTAGAACAACTAAGGCGTCAATGGTTTTCTTTAACTCAAAAGCTGCTGGTTTTATCTGTTCATTCCATACTTTGCCTCTTCTATCTTTATCTCTTATCTGCCATACACATTTTGCAACTAATGAAACAAAGTTATCGTATGTCTTAAATTCTTCGGATTTGTAAAGGTCAGAAATATTTTTATAAACCATGTCGCAATCTTTGTCCATAACTTTATGGTTGCAATGAAAACCAAGGAATTCATAATTTACTTTACGTATGAATTTCTTAATTTCTACTGAGTCAGTTGCTTTGACTTCAATTTCGTCGAATTCAGGAATAGTTAGTTTTTGCTGCTGAATTTCAGGTAGTTTAGGCAAATGGTCGATGAGGTCCTCCATTTCATAAAGATACTGTTCATTTGTTTCATCTTTCGCACTACAGTCTAAATTACTTGTTAAAAGTTCTTGCTTTATCTTCTGGATTTCTGTTTCAAAAGTATATGAAGAAGGAATAAAGCTTTTCATCTCTACCAACATTGACGTAGGATTCATGACTAGCGAGTTTGGTGCTGTAGTTGTTTGAATCGTTGTTGTGCCGATTGTTGAAATCATATCTTTTATACAAAATAAAAAAATAAATAAAAATAAAACTAACTTTATTTTTTCTATCTTAAGGAAATTCATGAAAATTCACGAGAAAGCTAAAGCAATCTGAGCCGCTAAGCGGCGAGGGTGAAAAAAGAGGTGAAAAACCGGGTGAACTCTCACCTCTTCACCTCAATTATATTTTTGTCTGATTTACATCTAATGAAAAAGTTTAGAAGAATTATCTTATTCTTTCTGGTAAATGCTTTGTCTGATTTACATCTAATGAAAAAGTTTAGAAGAATTATCATGAGGGTGAGAAAACAGGTGAGAAAACAGGTGAGATCTCACCTCTTCACCTAAAATATATTTTTGGTGTAAATTTATGACAAAAATAAATGGTACCATTAATGATATCATGACTGTTCTCATTCATGTCTGATTTACATCTAATGAAAAAGTTTAGAAGAATTTTCTTATTCTTTCTGGCTTATTTTTGTCTTTCCAGTACTCCCGCTCTAATGGTCCCAGATGTGTTGGCTTTGACTCTCTCAAGTTCTTAGATGGTATAACACCTTCAACGCCTCCTTCATATCTTACTTTATAAGTGTCATCGTTTATGTTGTAGCCAAGTATTTCAATAACCACTCCTCGCTTTGCTTCGTCAATGGTTTCAGCAAGTTTGCCATTACTACTTTCGACTAATTTGTGACGAGGGTAAAACGCAATAGAGTCGTCGGCAGCTTTTATAAGATATCCATTACCTTGCGTAGAGTCTACGATATAATAGTTTCTACTTAACCTTAAACGTTTCCTTGTCAACGGTTTGTCGTCAAGAACTACACGAACTTTTGTACCAGGAATGAGGGTAAATTGTGTTGAATTTCTGATATTTTGTGTTTGGCTTCGTTTCTTTTGTATATACTTTTCTTCTTGTTGTTGTGTCATTGAATTTGGTGTATGTCCTGTTGTAGAATGTGTTGAGGAATTATATACTTCGAGAAAATGTTTCATTGTTTCTTCGGTAAAGTCTCGCTCTTGGTTTAAATCTCTGAGCGTTCTTATGAAGCGGTTTATGATGCCGAGTATGTTATGGTTATGGTCTTCAGTAGTGTAGTGAGTTATGTTATGCTTAATGAGAAAATCTGTGATTTCATTGCTGAGGTATGCACTGTCTTGGTCTGATGTTAAAGTACTTGGGCTATGTTCTGCTACAAACTTTTGTAAAACTCTTAAAACTTCATGAGTTCCTTTATTTTTCATTGGATATGCATATGCTTTACGAGTGTTAACATTAATGAAGATGAGGAATGGTTTATGTCCTCCTTTTCTGCTTTGAATGAGAGTGTCAAATTGGTATGCGTCAGGAGTGTTGGAGTAAATTGGTAAAAAGTAGTCGTAAGGGTTTATTTTTGTTTGATGTACAACATTTTTGTCAAAGAACCTTTTCACTTCAGCTCCGTTAGTAAATCCCCAACTCTTTGCAGCTTCATTGAACTTCTTAAATGACCTCCATGGATGTTGTTCGAATACTTCTTTCAAGATCATTTATGTAAAGTTAAAGATTTTATTCAAGGCTCAAGCGCGTTCATTGAACGCGGTACCATGCGAATACAGTCACAAATGGCGGCATATAATCTGCACCCGAGTCTGTTGGATTTATTGTGAAAGTATGGACATGATTTCCCCCCGGTTCAGTTGGTCGAAAAGTCTTTTTTGCTGAATTGTTATAAGATGGAGATAAAACGTCATTGCCAGCTTCATACTCTGAGTTGTATAATGGGTGGTCTCTTAATGAGTGGCTATGGTCGCCAGAAAAGTTTGTCGTTCCTGTATGAGTGTGCGGTGGAAGGTTTGCTTCTTTAATTTTCTTCGAACCTCCTGTTTGCTTTGAAGAGTTAGCACAGTATAAGAATTTGTTTACAATCTGCTGCCATGTACCAAAACCTAAAACACTTGCTGGATTTGTTGAGTTCATTGACGTATAAATAGAGCCTATAGGATATAATGTTTGAAGTATTTCAGTCTTTAATGTTTGAAGCTCTGTTTTGTCTGCTTTCTTATCATATAAATCTTGAGCAGTGAATTTAACATTATTTTCATCATCCATGACATAAACATTTTTACAGCTAATGTCTTTCTTCGTTGTTATGTTTTCATTCGATGTTAAACCTTGTGGAAAGTTAGGAGGTTTATAATATAATGCATCCCCACCAGTTCCGCCAACCGTTCCTTCAATACTTTCTATAGCAACAGTTGAGAAGGAGTTATGTGTATGTTCTTTATCTGCTTTTTTATCTAACATTGCTGGTAGTTCATGTGTTTCAAAGTTTCTGACATGACCTTCAATGTTCATACATTTACTATTTAAGGAGTTTAGTGTATCTTTTACGCTTGTACTTGGATTCTCTAAAGGTGCACTTGAACCAAGGGTATAGTTCAATATTATGTCGTCTCCTCTAACAGTAGTGAAGGATTTATGTGTATGTTCTTTGTCAGCTTTACTATTTAATGTAGCTTGAAGTTCATTTATATCGGAGATATTGTGTTTATGAGATTTCAAAACTTTGTTCATTGGTTCAAGTTCATCTTTGCTGGCTTTACTTTTAATAGCATCTTCAAAAGTTATTTTTGCCTTAACTCTCAATGTAAATCTTGGTTCAACTAATACACCGTTAACAAAGAAGTATGAAGCATAAATTTCGTTGTTATAACCAAATGCTTCTGGTGCTTTACCTGTGTCATACTGTACAGTACAGTGTATGTCATAACCTTTAGCACGAATGTATTTATATCTTCTTTCATTAACATCTTCCGTCTTCACTTTTTCATCCTGTGTTAAATATCCATGGTAGTCCGTTATAATCTGTTCATCTGAAGTTATATAATGAACATGGTTTTTATCTGCTTTTTCGGTTAATTTCTCTTCTATCTCATTTATTTCAAGTTCATGCCTACCACCACCTCCTTCAGAAGTATTTTTCTTCAGCTCTTGAAGAACGTCCACTTCGCCATCTTTGGTGTCAATAATGAGACTTTGAGTTAAAACCTTTCCTGTCTTAATGGATGTTTGTAAAACTTCTTCTTCACCGTGTTCGGGGTCATGGTCGTCATCATATCTTGTGAAATCAGAGATGTTGTCATACATTAAGCATATCTGTCTCAAAAGTTCTGCTATTTGAAATTGGAACGAAAGATATACAGAACTTTCATCATCTCCTAAAGTCAAGTCTGCTTTCTTAAGTATTTCTTGAATGTATGCAATGAGAACAGAGTACCTTGGAAAATATTCGAACAATATTTCATTTGCCGTTGGTTTTGGTGGTTCTTCTGGAGTTTCTGTTGTTTCAGTTCCTTCTGTAGGTTTCTGTTGGAGTTTCTGCATCTCTTGACTTCAATGCTCTTGCTCTCAAAGACCTAAATGTTAGAGCACCAGGTTTTACAAAGGACTTTATAAATGCTTTAATAGTTCCTGGTAAGTTATTGTTAGCATTAAGTAAGTTCCTTATGCTTCCATCATGTACGTCCATAGCACTATGTAAAAAATCTATACTTTTCTTGTAGTCAGCAATAGACTGACTGTGATTTTTTAAAGATTTGTCAATACCTTTAAGCCAATCTTCATGCATGTCTGATACTGAGCCAAGAATATCACTTGCTTCCTTTAGTGTATTTTGTGCTTCTCGTAAAGTATCCAATCCCGTACGTGCATTGTTTGCTATACGTCTTACAGTATCTATTTGACTCCTTGTTTCTTGCATCCAACCAGATAAATTTTAATAGTATCCGAACCATTTGAAATGAAGTTCAAAGCATTTTTAACGTCATTTAAAACTTCTTCACCAAGTACTGCCCATATCTTTCCGATTTGGTATTGAAGAACTCCATATGAAGCAGCTGTTAAACCAGTATTTATAAGGTTCCATATCCATGATTTAGCAGTTTTTCTATCCTTTCCATCTTCACCATCCAAACCGTTTTCGCCTTGAGGTCCTTGTATTCCTTGTATTCCTTGTATTCCTTGTGGTCCTTGAGGTCCAGTGTCACACTTCTCTCCTTTCAGTTCATCTTTATGTTCGTTATAATATTATAATGTCATAAGGTGTACATCATTACTGCTACCAGCAACGCCGAGAATTTGTTTCTCATTCATGACTAAATTCTTTAAGCATTTAATGTTGTCGTCAAATCGAAAGCTCTTTAACAATTCAATGAGAACATTTAATACTTTCACTAATGAGGCATCTACTGTAGAATTTATATATTGCACCGTTCCATCATTTATGATGGGAACCTTGCTTGTTGTAATGAATGGGTCATAAGTGTTAAAAGTATCGAAATCAATGACTTTTTTAGTTTTTCCATCGTCAATGACTAAATCATTGCCTTCAATGGTTAAAGTTGAGTTTTCGTTTACTAGTTCATGTGCTCTTCTTGCTTCATTTGTTTCATACGCATATGCAGCAATAGTCATATTTTAATGAGAATAAAATGTTGTTCTATTTGCAAAGTACAGACCCAAACGAATACGGGACAGTAAAGCTACAAACAAACTTAGGTCTTCAGAATGAAGCGCTTGCTTTCAGAGTTGTTGACTTCAATACTATCGCAACTTTTGTCATAACAGATGAAACAGATTTCATAGAGATTGAAATAGATGACAAAAGAAGTGTTATAACATTTCCTAACAGAGCTGGGTATAGAAAAGATAAAATTGCTGGAGTGTTAAATGCTCTCATAAATGAAGAAACTATTGACAACATAGATGTCGAACTCTCTTCTGAGGGAACATTGAAGTTCAGTTATGCGAAGGAGTTTAAGATAACACGAATGAGTCATAGAGTACAACTTCTTTTGGGTGCATACCATATGACATTTCCTTTGAAAAGTGTTGACAAAACGATTGAGATGAAATCTGTTCCATACGTATGTTATGGCAATTGTTTGTACATTGAGTCTAAAATAGCTAATGTCACAGGCATTTCAGGAGTTAATAGTAAAGGTTCAGTAGAATATAAATCCTTCTGTTATGCAGTCAATTCAATGTTCATTCCAAACGTTCCTGTCATAGCAACTCATTTAGGTAAATGGGTTCGCATTAGTCCTCATAATTTGAAAGACATGCAATTCAGACTTGTTGACTTTCAAGGAGAGCCTGTAGAACTGAAGGCACCAGTGCGAATGACTGTTGAAGTTGACTTTTTAGAAAATATTAAATGCAACAGCTTACAAGAGAACTCAGAGCTAAAAATATAAAGTATGAATGTTATGTATTAGGTCATGAACTTTGGTTGTTGCTGTTTGATGAAACAAATGAATTAGTTATGTCAGTCAAGAGAACAGAAAAATATTGTGTTAGTGAAAACTGCACCAAGTCAATAAGATTAGGTTTGCATTATGAAGATGAGTTCGATACTGTTGAAGAAGTTTTGGATAGATATTACAAATTGCTAACTTGAAATTTTTTTGACTGACGGCGCAAAGCGCCAAGACCGAAGGTCCTGACTGCTTTAATTTACTAAAACATATTTCAAACAAAGTTTATAGTCAGTAGATAGTTTTGTATACTCGTTCGAATATTTATACTTAAACTCAACTCCTGTACTTCCTGGTGTTTCAATGATGCGGATGTTACCTATTTTCATGAATAGTGGAGTTTGACCACAGCATTCGATTTCAGGGTCGAGATAGTCAATGACACATTGTTTCCCTGTTATTCGTGAGATAACATTTTCAAGGTCCTCCTTTGTTAGAATTATTTGGTTCTTGCTTATAAGATTTGTCAAAAGCTTCTTATCGTCTTTGAGTAAAATTGTTTGGTATAACTGAAGAAGGTAATGGTCTACGTTATCTGAAGGATTTGTTTGAACATTTGTGTAAGGGTTGTCGTTGGCTTCTCTTGAAAGAATTTGGTCCAGTGGTGGATACTCTAACTTAACATCTGATGTAGCGTTAGCGTTTGAAGCTGTGTTTAAATTCACGGCGCCATGCTCCAAGACCGAAGGTCCCGACTTAAGTTCTGGTTCTTTTTCTTTCAAACACTCTGAACTATAGTTCTTTATGACAATATTGTTTGTCGTTCGTGAGTCAACATTTGATGTTGGTTCAATTGGAACATTAACGGCACCAGCTAAGATGGATTTGCTTCTCATTTCATATAGAATAAAAACCTTTTATATGTATGAAATGAACAATATACTCGACAAGGGTTTGAATGTAAAGCTAACGAATGAAAATATTGTTGAATTCACTGAGACAGGTGCTGTGTATAAAGATGTAGAACTACTGAACAAAAGAGCTAAGGGAAGAAGCAGGAACATGAACAAAGGGTGGAAGCCTATAAAAATTTATGTCAATGATGGCTCAGGAGGTTCAAACATAAAGTATGCAGAAAGTTATAGAGTTTATGCTCTCAAAGGTGAAAAGCCATCATTTAAGAACAGCTATTCTAACGCATCTCCTCAAAAGCTAACGGATGGGGAAGTGGATGATATGAATGACAGCAAAAATATTAACAGAAATGGCGACAGAGATGCATGGAATTTGTTTACCATCAGTCAATTGAAGGTTAAACTTTAAAACAATGTTGGTCGTTCCCATGGAATATTTTTGACTTTAATGGTATTAGTCATGATATGAATCTCAAGGTATGAACGAGGAGAGATGAGAGACTTATATGCTTCCCAAATTTCGTCAAAAGGTAATGTTATACCTGACTGTTTCCAAATGAGTTCAATGTCATAGCGTGAGAAACCTTGAAAGATAACGAAGTCAGTTATGAGACGTTTTATGTTTAAAGCTAAAAACCTCCATGTTTGCATAAGTATTGCTACAGTTAAGTGGTAATGTCTGACTTTAGTAATGATGTTAGCTAATGGTGAGTCTGGTTTTGACACTAAACCTTTACCAGCGAAGTCGTCACAAACTAATAAAGTGTTTGATGGATATTTTTTGAAGGGTATTTTGAAAGTTTTGATAGAATGTAGTTTGTCAGTCGTTTCATATCGTAAACTCCTGAGTACTGACGTAAGTGGTGTTTGTCAATAATTCTTTCCATCTCCTCAGAAGTCTTTTGCATTCCTGACTGTATAAATTCAACGATGGCATAATATTTCCTCTTACGTCGAATGTAACGTTGAAGAAATTCAATGAGTTCACTGTCTGGAACTTTAACGACAGAGGCTTGAACTTTTGACATAAATGTTTTCGCTGTTGAGTCCATAGAGTCTGAAGTTGCTGATATAATGATTTGGTCATAAATGAGTCATTTCCTAAACGTTCTGTTATGAGTATATGACGAATGAGGTTAAATGTCTTACCTGAACCCATCTTTCCACAATAGAAATACACACCATTTGAACAGAACTCATATCCTTTGCTGAAAGGAAGAATAAGAGAAGAGTTAAGTTTGTCTGTAGTTTCATTCATGTCTTCATCTACGTCATGTATTAAATGCTTCATTTTATCTCCATTAAAAATGCAAGTCAGAAATATTCAGAACATAGCACCGAGTCTAACTGACAAGAGTATAAAGATATACTATGAACATGTTATGATGAAACCAACCAAAATTCAAGAAAGTCAGTATACTTATGAATATCCAAGACACTGGGTAGAGTATGTAGGAGGTGAGAAAGCTATTGAAATCAGACAGGTTCGAAGTATTCCAGCAGGAAGAACAATATTATTGAAGAACTTTAATGTTTTGATATAATGATGAAACAAAGAAGCAAGATAGTTTTCCTGTTGCTGTGTATGTGAACTTAGATACAGGAGATGACATGAAAGTTTTTAATACAAAGCTTCAAACGGTAGTGAGAGAACAACTTACTGCGGAAGGACATCCATTACCTTCAGAAGTTAGCATAGCATATAATTTTGAAACAAACACAATAGATTTTAAAGTCGTCTCTGCAAAGAAGTCAGGATTTACATTTAATGAAGCAGATGTATATTCGAATGAAAACTTCAAAGCTATTGCATGGTTAGATAATGACGATTGCTTTAAGAAAATATTTAAATACAGTGACTCAACGATGTCAATAGATGACCTTCGTGGAATGTTACCATCGACGTTTACAGTTGAAGGTTCAGCAGGATTGCTTACAAGATTGTCAATTGGTGGTATTTGGTCTCGTGAGAACATTGTTATAAAATCCAGTATAAGTGAATTTGCTGAAAAATCTATATTATGTCTTTCAAACTACATGTATTCGCCGCCGAAGCACTATAGTATAACAAACTTTGTCAGTAAGTTTAACATAAGACTTGTCGAACCTTCTTCAATGAAAGATGTTGTGCTACCCAAAGACGGAAAGGATGGACTCATTATTGAAATGATTTTAATAGCATATTAAATGAGCTTGTTCTTGAAGGTCATTCATGATGAAATAACTGTTGTAGAAGATGTTAGCAATTGTTCAGACATTTTGAAGCGTATAGATGATATAAGAAATAAGTTAGATAGACCGCAAAGCGGTGAGGGCGAAGCCCGTGAGAATGTTTATGTTTCATTGACTTTCTCCAGTAACGAGAACTTTTATGAGATAATATTGAAGAGAGATGATTTTAATATGGTGTAAATGGTAGCTTGGGTAGCTTTAGGCGCAATGGGAACAAAAGCATTAGCATTTGGAGCAAAAGCACTTGGAGCTTATGACGCAGTAAATAAAATGAGTGGAGGAAGGGTTTCGAAGACATTAGATGCAAATAAAGGGAAGATTGGAGGCTGGGTTGCAAAGAAGTTAAGATTAAATAAAATAGGGCTCATAAATAAAGCATCCAATTTGGTTGCGACTGAGTCAGAAAATGCTTTAGGAAAGGACGATGAGTTTGCAAAACACGCAAAAGACTTTAATGACCAGATGAAAGGTGAAACAATGCATTTAAATAGATTCGATGGAACTAAAGAAAATGTTTCTTCTCCACCAGTAGTTCTTCCGTATGGTCCCTATGGAATGTATGGAAACCCTTACGAAAGACCATTTGACCCATTGACTGGTGGAAGTAACTGGTATCGTTACGGCCGAAGAAGAAAGACAGTCAAGTTGGAGACAGACGTGAAGAAAGCAACTAAAAAGAAACCAAGGAAGAGAGTTATAAAGCAATGAATTCAACAGGGTAGAAAAGAGGTTAGAAATCGGGTTAGATCTAACCTTCTACCCTAAATTTATTTTTGTGCTATGTTTTCATACGTGTGAGGGTGGTGATATCATTAATTTTTAAGTTTATTTTTTATTTTATTTTTTATTTTATTTTTATATAAATGACGAAAACTATTGAGATAACAAACTACAACGGTCATGAGTTCAAGAATTTGTTCTTCGTTCCTCGTGAAAATACATTCTATCAGATACGAGGGAGAAAGGGTAAAGTTAGTTTGAGCGTTTATGACTACAAGCATAATGGAAAGTTTATACAAGCATACGATACAAACGGTAAACATGTTTCATTAGCTTTGTCAAAACTTACTAA